GGGCACTTCCCCTCCCGGGCTCCGGCGGCGCAGGGTCCGGAGGCATGGGGGCTGCCCGAAGCCGGTAGCGCTCGGGCAGACCGGCTCTTAAACAGAGCCGAAGAGTCAGGGGAGGAGCAGAGCCGCCGCGGCCGGCAACTGAATATATTTAGATACTTGTTAAATTGAGTATTTTTCTATATTTGCATTCATGAATATGAATATGATCCAGCACTAAACCTATTTCTTCCCTAATCTGCTCTTCATCTATGGGGCTAGAGGCCTGCAAACTTGATGCACTCAAGAATTATCTGTGATATTATTTTTTATTTGTTAAGTGCCAACAATGTGGCTGATGATGTTAAGATGTAGATAAAGGCAGCTCCTACCCCAAAGAGCTTATCACATAAGGTGGCACGCGAGCTGATTTTCAGTGGTACTCACACTGCCCGGGTCCTGTCCACCGGTCCAGGGTATCTGCATTTTAATTTAATTTTAAATGAAGCTTCTTAAACATTTTAAAAACCTTATTTACTTTACATACAATAATAGTGTATAATTAGTTATATATTATAGACTTATAAAAAGAGACCTTGTAAAAACGTTAAAATATATGACTGGCATGCGAAACCTTAAATTAGAGTGAATAAATGAAGACTTGGCACAACACTTCTGAAAGGTTGCCGACCCCTGCCCTAGATGTACTGTACCTTTTGCATGTATATCACTCAAGAATTATTTTAATACGTATTTCATTACATTGGGAAGTTATTCCAGTTAAGGACAATATACTGCCCAAAATCTGCACAAGAGACTTTAATAATAGAAAGTTGAGTTTCGGTGTGGATCAAGGGAACAAATTGGTTCTAACTGGAGTTCTGCTGCAATTCAAGGCAGTATTTGGCATTATACTATGAAGTTCTGTTCTGAATGGAGGGTAGCTCTAGGAATTCTTAGACAATTAACAGTTTTCTTAGTGAACACCACCATGTGTGACTGGCAATTTCATTCGCCCCTATGTAACACATACTTTGTATATTTCTACAACAAAAGAGGAAGTTAGTCTTTGCACAGAAGTCTTGGCACAGTACTAAAATGAGGAAGGGGAAGGTGTTTGGCATCAGAATGAATCTTGTCACTTGTAAAGTGCTGAAGTATTCAATGCCTTGTGTAATTAACCATGGAGTCTGTGTTTTGGCTTGTTCAGCAGAAAGAAAACAATTTTGTGGCTGGCCTAACATTATACATGCAACTTTCACTAAATATAATTAAAATCTAATACCTGGAATCCTTTTGGAAAGATTTGGTGAAAAACCATGAGTTGGCAACTACATAAAGTAGAATTTAAATGCTGCCTTCAGGTTTTCTTTGTCTGTCAAGGATCTTTTGAGTGTCGCTTTTTAAGTGTTCATTAACAGTCCTATGTCTTGTTGACTCTAACAGTGTCATGTAAATTATTTAAGGCATGTACATAATTTTTCAATTAACAAACTGCTTGGCTCATGAAAATACATACACACAATTTATAAGTAGAAATTCTAGACTAAATATCTCATGATGAGCAGGTCACTATGAATTAAAAATGAGTTTTCAAATAAAATATTTAATGATATCTGAAATTAAATGAAACATTGCAAAATTAAAAGTTTCTCAGTTAAATAGGCCTGCTGTTTAACAATTTTGCAAACCAAATTAAGGCTACAAATTGAGCAGACTTATGTTTTAGATATTAAAAGATACCTGAATTGAACATGTGCAGAAATAAAGCTCAAATAACTATTCACTGAATGTAATCTCAGTGGAACTGAAGCAGGAAGAGTTAAAGAAAAAACACCGGCTGACCATCTGAAGTGTTTTTTGTTTAGTTCTTAAATATATGTTGTGTGTGTTCGCAGAATCTGTTTGCAGAAATTTTCTACTTATACACAATTACAGTATATACACAGTAACCAAATACACATGAAAAAGCAGTAGTCCATCACCTTGATTTGTATTGGTATACATTCTGAGTATAGTGGTAGATGTGATGGGGCACCAATGAAAATTTGCTAGGTACGCTTGTTTTAACTTTTCTAGTACATACAGAACTTTTTCAATGTCAGTATCATTGTAGAAATATATCTGACTTTGAATCCCATATTTTTCTGGTATTTTAATATACCAAATATTCTAGTATACCAGCACTAAGCAAACACACTTCATTTCTAATTCAGGGTAAAAATGTTACATACCGTTAACTGATGCATCAACAGGTCCATTAAAAAAGTGATCTTATTACTAAACAGAACATAGGTGCAGTTTTCTGTGCAATTACTGCAGGCCAGGTTGTAAACATTTACGGTATTGCAGAGTGACCTAAAATAAAAAATGAAATGTCAACATAGTTTTCTTCTTAAATATACTAATCTATAAAATTAAATATAAATATTAGGCTGTGAGGAATATCATCAGGCAACCTAAAGTGAAGGTAAGTTTAACGAACATGAGTATGAAAAGTTACACAGAAAATACAAATTAGCATGAGGTAGGTTAAATAAATATTGACATGATACAGAAGTTCTGAGTGAACCTATATACATTCCAAATTCTATAGTGTGTTACCACTGCATCTGCTCTAGAACGAGAACGTGGGTTTAAAACTAAATTGCATGCCTTGGAAGCTGTAATGTTTAAATGAGCAAGCTCTCCTATGTTACATGTGGTATTAAATGTTTGTGCACATTTACACACCTTCACATGCTTACACACACACACATCAAACCTTTGATTCCCCGCCCCCCCATCATCGGTATATTAGAAATATATTAAATGAAAAAGGAAAAAAAGGAACATCTGTACATCATCAGGTAAAACTCTTATTTTTGCACAATTTGAAAAACTAATGTTTTTTCTGGAAGAATTCATTGTTTCATGCAAGTATACAAGATCATTGGTCAGTTTGGTAGCAGAATATTCAGGCAGAAGGATATGTTATAAATTAACCATCAGGAAATGCTAACACTGTACTGGGATCAGCTTTAGAGAGGGTCTGGCTTGCAGGCCCAGCAAACTAAGGTGAATTGTATTGAACAAAAGGACAATCAACAGGTGAAACATCAGTCTTTTGCCGCAGGTGAATCTCCTGATAATTTTGGGACTTAGGGCTAGTCTACACTGGCAACGTTAAAGCGCTGCCGCGACAGCGCTTTAACGTGGCTCACCTCCGCAAGGGGCATGGCTCCCAGCGCTGGTGCACTGTCTACACTGGTGCTTTACAGCGCTGAAACTTGCTGCGCTCAGGGGTGTGTTTTTTCACCCCCCTGAGCGAGAAAGCTGCACCGCTGTAAAGTGCCAGGGTAGACACGCCTTTAGAGAGACAAGGTGGGTGAGGTAATATCTTTTACTGGACCAATCTCTGCTGATGAGAGAGACAAGTTTTCGAGCTTACACAGAGCTCTTCTTCAGAAACTGTGAATCACTGGCATCCCCATTATGGGGACTGTAAACTTGGGTGCATAACTACATTAGCAATGATGGGAGCTACACGTACGTATGAGGGGAAATAGATGGTAGGTTTGCAATAGCAAAAGGGAGAGCGTGAATTCTGAAAAACTGGAAGAGCAAAAAGAAAGCTAAACAAAGTAGGCCATAACGGTTCAAAATATATACAGTAGGCCTGGTTCTTCTCTGCATTTCACATTGCATAGGAATAAATAACTCCACAAAGTGAATGATTTATGCAGAGTCAGAACTTTCACAGGAACTGGCCCTAGGCTATGGAACTCATTGCCACATGAGATATACCTGCCTAAAGAATTTTATCACTTTCAGAATAATTTTTTTTCACAATATTTTCTTTGACTTAGCTTTTCCTCAAAAATGTCTTTGCTTACAGACAAGCACACGGACACAAAACACACATACAACACAACTCTACAATAAAATAAACAAATAAATAAATAAAGTCAATAAACAATTCTGGTTGCTTTCCAAAAGGAAAGCAAAAAGAGTTTTTTTATTTTTATTTTTAAATACATGGGAATCACTAATGTGATGGAGGCTAACCAGGCTCAATAGACAAGCCAGACTTGAGATCATTGGTAAAATTCACATTCTGGAACGGGTTGGCAGTGCCAACTGACAAGTTTTTATAGAGAAGCTGTCAAAGTCACCATCTGACTTTACTAACTAAATTAATTAAATAAATGTATCTATTTTATAGTTTTATTTTTTCTTGCAACTGGTGAGCATGGAATGGGAAAATATTTAATGGAGAGAAAGCCAAAGGTCATCATTTTGTAGCAGAGTCTTAATAATGTTTTTGTGTGGTTCCCTACTGAATTTATTTACTACAAACATTTAGGAAGCCTGCCTAGGTATTTATTTATATTGTGCTCATCACTGTCGCAGATGATCATCTAGCTCCAAAGGCTGACAATTTAGAGACATCATATACATCAATTTCAAATTCTTTCCCACATTTCCCAAACCAATAAGGGCTGGGAATGCTCAGAAGCCAGTGAAATTATAGTAAATCGTTCCTCTGAGTAGCTCGATTGCTTCTCCTCCAAATGAAAACGAACATTATTGGACTCTAAAGGGAATGTCATCTAGTCTTCCTTGGCTGATAAGAAAGTGACAGCAAATGGGGCACTAAGGATGGAGGATTGTAAAAACTTATGAGAGTATTGAGACTGTGATAGGAACATAGAACATGCTGCAAGATTTAAAAATGGATCAGAACATTTTTGGGAGAACGTATTTATATGATAGTTGATATTATAATTCCCTTCATTTGAACATGGAAATCCATATAATCATAATGCCTGTTTGTTAATATCCTGAATATAACTATTAATACAAATATTTTGTGTATTGTTTATATTGTCTTGTTATAAATTAATATATTCACTCTGACTGGAAGGCACTCTTCTGGAAATATGGTTCGAACAGTATAAAATGCAATATCAAATTACTGCTTACTGAGCTGCAATTCATTCACTTGTTTTTCAATCTACACTGATAATTCCTGTGGAAAATTCAACTAATATACCTCTTATCTATCATGCTTAAAACTAAAAATATATATGCAACAAAGCTCTCTTTTCCTAACCTAGCTTTTAAAAGAGGTTTATATCCTTCATTTAACAAAATGAAGGATGAAAACATATTCCTACAGTAGTACTGAAAAATTATGCTCTAGAACAGTGTTTCTCAATGACTGGCACTGGACCCTGAGATTTCCTTGACACAGTTTAGGAAGGCAACAAGCCGGTCCCTGGTATCAAAAAGGTTGAGAAATACTGCTCTAGAGGACTTAATTTTTCTTTCAGCAAAGATAAGTCAACATATATTAATGAGGCTATTACACTTAGGCCTGGTCTATACTACCCGCCTGAATCGGCGGGGAGAAATCGACCTCTCCGGAATCGATTTATCGCGTCCCGTGGGGACGTGACAATCGATCCCCGAATCGGCGCTCTAACTCCACCAGCGGAGGTGGTAGTAAGCGCCGCCGACAAAAAGCGGCAGAAGTCGATTTTGCCGCCGTCTTCACAACGGGGTAAGTCGGCTGTAATACGTCGAATTCAGCTACGCTATTCACGTTGCTGAATTTGCGTATCTTAAACCGACTCCCCGCTGTAGTGTAGATGTACCCTAAGTGACGTGGTGGTTCAAAAAGCCAACTTAATGTTAGGAACCATTAGGAAAGGGATAAATAATAAGAAAGAAAAGATCATATTGCCTGTATATAAATACATTG